ATATAGAGGGACCTAAATTGAAACAGTTCGTTTTTATTAAGAGACAGTTGCTAAAAGGAAACTTTCAGCATTTCATCTCTTTGATCGCTTTCCTTAGTTTGTGGTTAGTGTATATTTTATGTATCAAGTAATTCATTCCGTAGACAGGATTGGCCTCGGGAAATTTCTAAACAATGATTTCATACGCAAAGTTCCAATTTAGAAAGTCGTCAACAGCAATTTATTTTTTATGGAACATTTATCTCTAAGACAGTTTGATAATGACATAGGAATATACAGGTACTCTGTTTAATGAATAAATGGCATAATGATTTCCTTATTTATCTACTTTGTCACTCGAATACCATGTCAATAGTAACATACTCACCACGCGAGGATGCGGTGTTTGAGTAACTCTCTATTTCCGGGAGACGAGAAATCTGTTTTCCCTATCACCATTCAGTCGAACGTGTTTGAATGTAGTCCTGGTATTTCAATAAACTCCAGAAACTTCACTTGAGTGTCCCCCTGTGACCATGTTGTCTTAGACAACCCACGGAAATAAAGAAAATTGATCCACACAGAGTTAAACCGCAGTGTCAACTTTCTAGTAATTTAAAGATCGGTCCATGTAAAGTTTTAAAGTCTACACAATCAAAAGCCAGCATTACTGCTTCATTTAAACTTGTTGACTCAAGGACCAATTTAAAGTTAAATCGATAGAAATGCTTAATAAAATATCTTAAAATCAATGGAATAGTCCAGGTTTTATTACCCTTTCTTAATTACTTTTGTAAATTGGATCGTGTGTTTTATTCACTGAATACTACACTAGTATCAGATTTAAGTGTTTTATATCAATATAACCTGTCAAAGATGCAGTGACAGTACAGAGAGGATTCAACTCATCTTCCACCCGAACAAAGAATTCCTCTGATGCTAAGACACGAAGGTTGAGAATGTATTTTCCCTCATCATGTTGATCCATATAGTTGAACCCACCTGAAAAATTTATACTTTTACAGACGCAACATAAATTTCAAGTCAATATATTACGATCTTTTATTTTCATAAAACGCTCTCGTTTCAGATTGATTAGACAATGTTGATGAGTAGATATATATGAGGTGAACGGATATGTGCTCTGATACAGTATCTCACTATGGAAATTTTAACCGGATCAACCATTTACATTTGTTTTAAACTGGATCTAGTCGATAGTGTTATTAAAGGTCTGTGAAAATCATACAAAATTATTTTATAGTTTTGATTTCATGTATTTGTTGCATTATCTAAAATAGATATAAATTATTGTCTTTTTAAAACATTCTTTATGGACGCACATTCTTTCATAAACACAACATTCATGCGCGAATCTAGAGGAGGGTTGGAGGTCCGGACCCCCCTCCCTGGGAATATCAGAGTTACTAAATTTGTTTTATAAAGTAATCAAAATGACCTTGGACCCCCATAAGAAACACGGACCCTGGTAAAATGACAAGTAGAGTGAGGAAGAAGATCTAGAGCTAGCGTCTTGTCTTATTCCCACCCCATCCCTTTCCATGAAATAGGATTTTGTGGATTCGAGAATTTTATCATATTGGTTTTTTTTTTTATTTACCGGGTATTTATTTATTTATTTATGAATTTTATTATATTGGGATATTTTTATTTCTTTATTTCTTTATTTCTTTTTTATTTATATATCTGGGTAACAAATTTCCGAGTAGGATTTTTTGAGAGGATGTGGAAAAAAAATTCCTGGATCCGCGCATGACTTTAGATCGCCAACATTACTAGTATCCTGACTAGAGAATAACTTCATTTTCATATGGCGTCTCTACATGATAATCCTTGAAGACATATTGTTTGCCTTTTTTGTTCCACGGATAGCCACAGGTTCGGAGCCAAAATAGAGATCCGAAATCATAGACTTCCCATTGGAGAAAATAAAATTGATACTCTTGATGTCAGATCATTTTTATATCATTAAATTACTTAACGTATACTAGAGCCCAGGAAGGTCTTTTGCTTATTGCTGTTCCTTCTTTCCATCGATAAGATTTAAAGTCAACCATCTAAGAACTTCGCCCACAAATCCTATTTATCTAATTTGCCCTTTCAACCAAATCGTGTCAAACGCCTTTCTAATATCAAGAGAAGCGAAAAGGAACAAGTAACTTTTAGTGTCTAAATCTATATTGCAATACAAATGTTATGATTTCTATTTATGACTGGGTGACTGTTGAATGGTTTTGCATAGATCCAATTAGCAGTCTATTTGATACTTAATGATCATTTATATATACATTCGAGCATTATTTATTCTATAATTAACCATGGGCAAGAATTCATGTTTTAAAATAGGAATCACATTAGCATTTCTCCAAAGATCCAGGGGCCTGTTTCACAAAGGTTTCCTAGGGTCTGACGACATGTTCCTCAAATATCATTTTTCTCAAGAATTTGTGACTGAAGTATTGCTACGCTTCCTCACAAAATATTGGGGTACATTGCCAGGCATTTGTGTGTGTATATATATATATATATATATATATATATATATATATATATATATATATATATATATATATATATATATATATATATATATATATATATATATATATATATATTAGGGATGTCAATTTTGTCAATAATTCATATTCGAATATTCAATGAAAGTATTCGAATATTCGACAAAATAAATAAAATCTTTTAATTTAAATATGCATCATCCTACTCTCATGAAAGGTATAGTGTAGGTATAATTATATTGGAAGTAAAATTGTATGAAGACTTTTGTAGGTGTACAATAAGAAATTCCATTTGATATTTGTCGATGTTTGAAATAAATAATTGATTTAAATATAGAAAAGCATAATTTTAACAAATGAAACGTGTATTTATATTTTATAGTAGCTCCAACTGTGGAACCAGTCGTCTTACCAAATGCAAGATATATTCGTAACGGTATTTGTACTGTTCAGATTTTTCAATACGTGTAATAAATTACAATTATCTGCCTAATAATAGATACACGTATGATTATAACCTTTGATACAATGTTTTTAAAATATAAACAAATATTTCCATAGACAATTTTCTTAGGTAATTAACTAGTTCCCCGATAATGAATATAAAATTCAGGATTATGTACAATCCGAGATAATCAAGTAATTTACACATTCTGAAATTGAGCCCTTTATAATATCAATTACAGACTAATTCTATCGGACATTTATTCAATGATCAATTAAATTTATTTTGATAAGTATACTCTTCACGTCTTTTAGACATTCTAAGAAGGTTTTCATTTTTACGTTTTGTATTATACATAAAGCGTTATTGTACAATTCTTTAACATCTTACTCAAAACAAAATACATGTAATTTAGTAAATCTATAAGATAAGAAAATAGTGAAAGAAATCAGGCGATCGAAATTGATCGCTGGTAAATTAAACAGGTATAATTCCAGCACTGTTCTAATCAAAATTTATTAACCACAGTACTTCCTAATTTTTTTTTCTTTTGAAATCTGAAAAACACCGAATATTCGAATCTTAAATTCATATTCGAATATCAACTCATCGAATGAATATTCGAATGTTCGAATATTCGTTGCCATCCCTAATATATATATATATATATATATATATATATATATATATATATATATATATATATATATATATATATATATATATATATATATATATATATATATATATATATATATATATATATATATATATATATATATATATATATATATATATATATATATATATATATTTAAGCATTTTGAAAAATGTTTAGAATTCACAAGCTAGGTTATAATAATTATAGATGTTTTTGGTATATTACTAAAACATATAAAAACAGATATTCAAGGAACGTGTCGTCAGACCTTAAGATGTTCCTAAGTTATTACTTAGGAATTTTAAAGTTGTGTTATGCCTAATGAAATAATTCCTCTACTCTACCTACATATTCTCAGGATAGTGTCAATATGAATACTTTATTCTTTAGTACAAGACGGTTTATTTCAAGTAACGAAAAAAAATTTTGCCTTAAAGGGGGAGGAGCGAGAGGTTAGCCTCCATTTTAAAAGGAATTGCACAGAAGTATGGTTTAACCTTGATAAGTTTCCAGCTTGAATTAACCCTTGATTTTCCCTTTCTTGTCTTCTTTACTTTGTTTTGTTGTATTTATTTATTTGTTTGTTTTTTGTTCTTATTGTTTTGTTTTTTATTTGCTTGGAGTTTTTTTTCTATCTTTTTCTTTTCTTTTTTCTCTTTTTCTTTCCTTCTTTCCTTTTTTTTATTTTGTTCTTATTACTTCGTTTTGTTAGTGTTTATTTTTTCGGGGTTGGGTTGGGGGTTGTTTTTACTTGTTTGTTTTCGAGGTTTTTTTTTTTTTTTTTTTTGGTCTGTTTGTTTGGATTTCTTTTGTGGATTTTCAGTGTCCGGAGAAAAGTAGACCCCACTGGAGATCGTTTAAGTTGAGACGATTTTCCCTTAGTTGGGTATGACCCTCTCCCCATATACGTACAAGATACGGGTTTTTCATGAATTTCGCCATTTCTCCATTCTTTTCTGTTTTATTTGTTTTTTTTTTTCTTCTATTTGTTTGTTTCTTTTTTTTTTATTGTTTTTTTTTTCTTTTTTTTTTGTTTTTGTTGGGGGGGGGGGGGTTGTTACTTGTTTGTTTTTCTTGTTAATTTATTTTTGGTTCTTCCGTAAATAGTTATTTTTTGCACAAGTGGAGGTTTTATGAAAATTCATGTACCTAAGTTTTACCGTCATGTACACGGATTCAAACATTCTGTGAAAATTCTGTTGGTTGTCCTTTAGCTTTATGGTCAAAGGGACGTAACTGCTGTGTACATTCTTGAGAGTTATTTAACTTTGTAAGTCAATCTGTCCAATCAAATCGCTCGTTTCATCTACTTGTTAGGGCATCTTGGAAACAAAAGACGCCACAGCAAGTGCTCGATGAACCGATCATTCGGCACGTATGTGAACACTAAACGGTTGTTTATTTGAGAATGTGTTAAGATATTTTAGGGATGTAATTTATTTTAGGTAAGATCATGTGTGAATTTCACGATGAACACTTTGATACAAAATGAGTTTCTGTGTAAAGAATTTTCAGCATATTTAGTTTTAAAATCGATCACAGTTAATTCAATAATTGATTAAGGGAATTTATAAAAAATTTTTTCGTTCGTACAATGATGATAATGATCCCATTAAAGATGAGACAATAAAGTCTTAACTTTGAAGAAGGTGATACCCGCACGGTTACATGTTTAATTTTGATCAATCTCTCCAAAGTCATAAGTCATGCACTGCACCCAAGATAGCAAAATATCCAAGGTTATGCACAGGAAAAAGAATGTATCCATCCTGTGCTACAATATTCAAAATAAACACTAATACATATAACTATACATATTTTAGATCTTGAATTTCCCACTGAATGAAAGAGTCAGGTACCATGCTGTGAAAGGTCATCTAACAGCACGCATTACATATAGCTTGGGAACAATGTCTCACAATGGTAGAGGCAGGTTCCGCCCTCTAGGGTCAATAAGGGCCAACCTTAAGTCTGGAGGGAGTGAAAAAATCCCACACATCCCGTCGGCTTCCTCGGTCTCCTCAAAAGTTAACCTAGAGAAGGATAACCAGGGAATCCTTGGGAACGCCCTGGCAGTGCCGCCTGTAAAAGAAAAGAAAGAGGAGAAAGTGAAAGTACAATCAGCCAAATCAGATTCTGGCTCCAGCACAAAATCACAGGAATCTGAGTACAAGAAGGAACTCCAGGATGCCAAGGTAGAAATTACTCTTATTTTAATAGGATATGCAAACATAACATGCATAAAGATGATGTTTTAATTCCATTGGTTAATTAACAGTGTTGCATTGGTTTTGGATTTTCTTGATGAAAAGAGGGCATTTATTTGTTAGATGAAATTTTTTCTTATAACATAAAACAAACTTGTTTTGTGTAGTATATGGAAATATCTGGTCAATCACTTATTTTAGAAAGGAGGGATATGTATCTATTATTAGTATTGTATACCCACTTCATAGAGAGATCTGAAATAGTAATGTTTTTGCTGCTTGTCTTACACAAAATTACTTTTTTCCACATAGACAGAAGTTTCTTTTTTATCTACGTCACAATAATTATAGTTGTGGATATAAATGTCATCCCAAGTATTTATTAATATGAACTGATCCTTTCATGTAAGAATGAAATGTTTACGTTATGCAGGCAATCCACTTCATATATCCATCTATTTTTCATTGAATGCAGCATGCACTCATACAGTGATGCTTAACCATATAATACTTCAAAACAAATGCCTGTAGAATATCAAAATAGCTATAGATACCTTATATTCTCTTTAGGCATTTGAACAGTTTTGTTGCTCTGAAGTCAGAAGTCAGAACCCAATATTTAAATATAGTTAAGGAATAAAGGAAAACTACCTCTTCAGTTCTTTATATATCATTTAATAAAATGTTATCAGAGCAAATCTAAATGATTTGTTTTTAAATTACAGAGAGATTTATACCAAGATAAGATTTTTATTGCTTGGTGTGAGGTGATCAACAAAAACTTCTCTTAATGGAATGTTTTATGGCATTTTTTTTATATTCTAAAGCAGATTTCTACCCCACAGTATATAAATTGAGCCTGTCGTAAGCTTTGCTGCTGTATAAGGTGTGAAGGTTTGTTCGTTGGTATTTACCATGCTACAAATTAAATGACAAGTATACTGGAAGAGTTGGTTATCTGTATTTAATATTTGTCTTTGTTTATTCAGAGATCCCATTCAAACATTCTAGATGCTTCAAGATACCAACCTCAAAACAATCTAAAATACATCTCAAGTGGTTGTCTGGCCTCTGAAATGAACCTTCCTTCTCAAAATCTTTTTAAATACATATTAAGATTAGTTTCTGCTTATATATAATTATATGTATAAAATGTCAGTTGGAAGTTTCTTGAATCTTGTGGTTATATTATTATAGATAATATATTAAAAAAGTGTGATTTGTTGAGGGGTGGGGATGGATGTGAATAACCTCCTCTGCCCCTTTTCCATCTGAGAAGATAGTACTGGCTTCATTTCTCTTTCCTTTGCTTATGTTAATCATCAAAGCTCCTTTTTCTAAAAGATTGGTTTTACTGAGAATTCCATTCAAATCTAAAATAAATTTGATAAATTGATAATTACATTTTCAAGATCTAAGCCTTATTAATTGAGAGATCAAAAGCTGAATGGTAACGGAATTGTGTATTCACTGCTATGGTTGTTCCAACATTGAAGAATTTACTAAAGTCAATTCAAACATTGTAATCAATTTTTTGACTTTGAAATTGATTAAATTTTAGCATACTTTGAATCATTGTTTACAGAGCTAAAAGTGTTAAAACCTCAGATAAATTAATCAGATTCAGTCTGTGTCCTGATTTAGAAAGGAAAATTTTTAATCAAATGTCTCTCACTGATGGAATTTTTGTGGCTATGTCTTTATAGACAAGTTCATTTTCCTGTATATTTAGAAAGGACTGGGATTTGTGAAATCAATAATTTACTTTATAAATTAACTTCTCAGGACCTCAGAAGAAAAGGGGCTATTGCTTACCCAGGCTCAAATTCCCAGTTCTCCACACAGTGTACAATAATTAGCTAAGAACGTAACACTACACAAAGGTGCAAAAAATTATTACAGAGAGTAAACAAGGCTCTTATTCAGAATTTAAATGGAAAGTGCCCCAGGTACTCCAAACATCTCCAGCTTTTCAATACTGGTGAACCTCTTTCACCTCTCTCACTTTTCTTTGGTACAGCAAGTGTGTCTTTTCAACAAATGATAAAACTTTGCCTTAGCAGTTTATATGTGAAACATACTGATCCATGCCCTTAACTAAATTTATGGTTCTAGCAGAGTTTATTATATTTTCTTGACAAAAGGTTTCAATTGACCATTTACATGTTTACTCTGCTCTGTATGATTGGTGTATAATTGTTCTTCAATAATTGATCTGTTTATTTAGTGTTAGCAGAATTTTTATCGAATTGATCTGTTGATTTTAATGTTATCAGGCAAGAGAAAAGGATTTGTTGAAAGAGATTGCCGAGTTGAAGAAACTGATTGAGGAGCTGAGGAAGCAGATCCAAGAGGGAGAGCAGACAATCACATCACTGAGATCTGATTTAAAAACACAGGTATGAGGTGCTCCGCTTAATCAATGCATCAGAAACTTCACATCTTAAACCTGGATTTTAAAATTCAGAGTGGAGAAAGAATCAATAAAATTCCTAATTTTATGTCTTATTAAGTGCTGTTGGCAGATTCGGGTTAGACAATTTTAAAAAGCGACAAGTGGTATTGTGTTAATGCTATTGAACTGTGGTAGTCTGAAATAACCATCACAAAATCAGGCAAACACTCACGTTTTATTCACATGTTGGCAGGAAGAAACGCTCACAGGACAGATAAACAAAGAGAAATCGGAACATGAGGCCACAAAACAGTCCTTACAAGGAGCTCGCTCAGAAATCGACGAGCTTCGAGCTCAGATTGAAAAACTCCGCAAGGAAAATGAAGAACAGATAGACAGACACAAGAAAGAGGTTTATATATTAACAGACAATAAAACACTGATATTATATGCATATATAGTATATAAACATTTGTTTTCTTGACTGAAAAATATTTTACAGAACACCATTCCTATAATCTAAATGTGAAAAATGTTCAGAATACATGTATTTCTTTATTAATGCCTTGTCCTTTTAAATTTTTTATTTACCTTTTATATCAATTTTGATCTCATAAAGTCCATAAATGAATGAAAGGAGAATTTTTTTGGTGGGCTGGTATTATGCTTTTGAATGAAAGTTTACAGAAGAACATAATTAAATAATAAAATACTTGTAATCCTCTTACTGTGTGAATATTAATCACACCTAGGTATAAATGAAAGAGGCACTTTTATATTTTGTGTCTTTTAATATGAATTTATTTATCTTTCAGCTTGAGGAAAAGATATTAGAAATCACTACCTCTAAAGACAAGGAGATCAAGATAAGAGATGAGAAATTAACCAGGTTAAAAAACCAGATGGCAGATGCCTTAAAGGGGAATTCCTGGTATGGTCCTTATATGACTACCCATTACTTAATTATTAATCCTACTAAGAGTTTAATTCCAAAACAATCTGATGTGAAAAGTTAACTTATTTACCACATTTAATCATAAAACCATGAAAGGGAGAGGCACAAAGGCAATATGTAATACAGAAAATATGTTTAGTCTAAACCACAGAAGTGTACTTGTTAGAGAGAGAGAGAGAGAGAGAGAGAGAGAGAGAGGGAGAAATATATATAGAGAGAGAGAGTGTGTAGTGTCCCTCAAATTTCTTTCCAAATCACCATTATAGAATGCTTTTCATTAGTGTTCACAAGTTCCACTCAAAAGTAGACACTTTGTTTCCTTCAGGGAGAGACAACAGCAGTTGGAGGAGCTAACAAAGGAGCTGGCCAGGATACAGGAGGAATGTGACGCTCTTAGGATGAAGCTCAAAGCCTCCAAGTCTAAGGTATCAACTGTAATAATAATATAAACTTTCCGAGCACTCTCCTGGAGAAATGGTGATCTGAGACAGGAGACTGAGATACAGAGAGTAAGAGATGAATAAATTAAAATAAAAATGCAAAGAAAGAGTGAATTTTTAATTTATGGACCAACACTTTAGTTAGATGCTGATATTAAATAAAAGGCCTATAAGTTACATCACTCACCTGAGTCACATTTTCTTGACTAATGTGTTAGTGAACCCATTCACTGTTGTTAACATGTTTTCCTTCATTTTTCTCTTTCTCTGGTTTAGGATAAGGCCATTCATTTGAATAAATATGTAACCCTTTACAATAAGATACTCTGTGTCAAGTTTGATTGAAATTGGTCAAGTGGTTCTTGAAAAGTTGATAAAAAAGAAAGGACAATAGACATGCTGACAAAATTTGATCAGAGATTCATATATGTATTCCAAAAAAAAAGAAAACAACATATACAGTGTATATGTTTCTTAAATTTGCATTTCTAAATTTGTGTTTATTTTTAGGGTGGACATTGTGCAAATTGCCAGGATATGACAGCCAAGCTCGAAAAATTCAATGCCTCAATTAAAGAAAAAGACCAAACAATTAAAGAACTGAAATCACTGTGTGCTAGGTTTGAGAAACAGCTGACTCAACAAGACTACCTGTTAAAACAATGGGCAGAGTCTAAAGGTCACAAGGTCAAATAAACTTGAAAATCCATATTAATTAGTAATACTTTCTGAAGTGTTCAATTTTGAGTGTCAGTGCAGTGCAAATGTGGTCATACTGTTGAAAATCTTTTATTTTTCAATATCGGAACACTTGGTACTCATATTAACATATAAAATAAGTACATATGCAATGTTTTAATGATCCTGAAGTATTATGTACAATACTGATAAGTTTTTCAGCATTGCCATATTAGAAAGAAGTACCATATATACTTGCCTATAAGTCGCTTTTTTGGGAGTTAAACTTTGGTCCAAAACTCTTTATCTGACTTATATGCGAGTTATAAAAAGATTGGTATTTTAGCGGGTCAATCCCTCTAATTTAAGCTTAAAAAGTACAACCTACTTAAAGTGGACCAACTTATAGGCGAGTATATACGGTATGTCACATGTACTCCGATCAGAACTCAGTATTCCGTCCAGTGATAACAAAAGTACATATTTTACTTGAATGCATAAATCTTTTGTGCTACTGCCAAATCAAATGTCCAGTTGTCAACAGATCAGTAATTCATTGGTTAATATTTCAATGAAATATACAATAATTTTAGGGCATTTTACTATGCTCAGTGATATTTTGTTTTATGTGATGTTATTAGTTATATACCATTGCCTTAAATCAGAATTTGTATGTACTGTGTACCTGTCTTTCTGTCGAGCTGCCTTTCATTCTGTCTGTCTGAGGTTTGAGACAGATAGATAGGTGTTTCAATCCTGAAAATTTTTTGTCACACAGTCAAGAACTGCTGAGGAACCTTAGTGGCACCTCTGTTCCTATGCCTTATTTCTCTGAAGCCTTAGTTATTATTTTTTGAGATATGGATAACGATTTATCAGCTATTCTAGTCTGCCAGATAAATTTGTTTTCAGTATACAGATTTGCCAAACCTAGTCATATTTGTTGCAAGAGAGAAAAGCCTTATGCTGAAGTTTGGTTAATTAAGACTACATGTATTTTAATTGGTCTCCTAAGGAAAGCTGTGAAAGTTGACTTTCCATTTCACTAGACTGACTTTTTTTTTCAAACAACTTTGCCAAACATTTCAAAAAATTGAAAATTCTGCTTAAAAAATTTTCAGATTTTGTTGAATAACAGTTAATATAGGATTAATTAAAAAAAAATATTCAAATTAATTCCTTATTGTCCTTAGGTACTTACAAAAGAGTAAAAAAAACAACTTAGATTTGAAATAATACAGCAAATCAGCCAGCAAGAATTTTTTTTTCCTATTATTCAGTGTACTGTCACTTGCTTTTTTGAAAAAAAATGTGGGATATTGAATAATCTGTTTAGATCATACACACGTAATTAATAAAATTAATGTTTAAAGTATTTAATGCAGACTCAACATTCAGAAACAAGTGTTGACATGTTCTTTTCCCTAAACCAGTATTGTTTAGAGTCTGATCCAAATATAGCACATTTTATCTAATTATGTTAGAATTCAGTTCTTAATCTGTTAATCCCATGTCCTTTAATCCCTTTTAACACCTGTTGTACATTTGAGAGAGAGGCAGAAATAAGGAAACTATATAACACTGTTTTGAGGGACTGATTTATCAGTACTAATGGTATCTTCTGCATTGTATATAATAGTTACTAGACTTTTATGGTCCATTCAATATTAAATGCACTTAGATTATTCTAGGGCCCTTTGACTGTTTAACTACATACCAGTTCTTAATATTTTAATAATGTTTGAATCAAGTGTATTCATTTATTTATCTATTTATTTTTTATTTTTTGGTTTCAATGGGCTTACTAATGAAGCTCATTTCATCAGAAAATATTTAAATCAGGAAGCAGATATATGATAATGTATGAATGCTATTTTTTAAAATTTTTTTTAAATTCATTTTGAGGGAGCTGTATTGCAGTCCTTTACTGTTTATGTAAGAATGGCTTCAGTCCCTTGTATAAGTTAGTGTTTTGTGTTAGTGATTACAGATATTCATCATTTGAAGTCCTTTCCCCCTTTGTTTTTACATTCCTTTTTTATATCAGGTATTTAAGTTTTGTATTGTAAAAACTACCGCAGAATAAATTCTTGTCAATGATTTTATCTTTCTTATAATTGTTGTATTTCACTTAATACAAAGGCTCAAACAAGGTTTGTCATCCATCTTTCTAGCTGTCTGTCATTTTGTCTTTCTATTGTCTGGTAACTTTTTTTTTTTTTATTTTTCAACTTCTCTTGGTTAAATAAAGAATTGTGTAGTAGTAAGTATTTTATTCTGCTGACTATCTCCAAGTCAGTTTTCAAAAGTTAACATATTTGAATGATTTTTTTTATGTTTATATAGATATTTATTTATATTTTCATTTGGAAAAAAAGAGAGAGATAACTATAATTTTGGTAAAATTTGTGTTTTTCACTGTAGAAATCGACAGGAAAACATTTTTAAAACATCTTTCCCACCAGTGACCCCCCCTTTTTTTTTACAGGTGTTATGAAATGTTATTTGACAAATTCATACCGAGGCTTTTGTTGTTTCATAGGGGGATATGTTTTAAAACAAAAACAGCAAAAATGGTCTTTTTTATTATGTTTTTTTTTTTTTTTTTTTTTTTTTTTTTTTTTTTTTTTTTTTTTTTTTTTTTACAAATTTCAAATGAGATTACAAATAAAACAAGATGTGTTTGTGAAACAACACTGATGCCCCCGTATGGCAACTTATAGCAAAGGTTAAACTTTCTCAAATGCAAATCAAATATGTTGGTACCCAAAGTAAGGTCTTGTCTCCAGGAATATACCTGTGAAATATGAAAGCCCTAGCAGCAACCATTGAATAGATATGGAACAGGTTAAAGTTTTTCAAAAGTAAGTCAAACATCAAGGTCAAGGTCAAATAGTCAAAATTAATAGTGCCCAAGGCAGGCCCGTAGGAAGCAATTTCAGGGGGTTTTTTGGGGGGGGGGGGCACAGCCATACATTTTTCAGTTGACAGTTGAGGGGACACTACCAAACATTTCCTGAAAAGAAAAAAAAAGGTCATCAGACGTTTTTATTGAGGGGGCACAAGCATATAGTATCTATGTTTACTATAGTAATCTATATATCGGCAAAATTATTGGGGGGGGGGGGGGCACCCACCGTACCCCCCTCCCGATTCCTACGACCATGCAAGGAAAGGCCTTCTCACAAAAAATATACAGGTGAAATATGAAAGCCGAGGCACCAATCGTTCAAAAGTTATGACCAAGGTTAAAGTTTTTCAAAAGTAGGTCAAACTCCACGGTCAAGGTCGATGGATTACAATTTTTGGTATCCAAAAGAAGGTCTTGTCACAAGGATTACATACGTGAAGTATGAAAGCCCTAAATTTTTGGTATCCAAAAGAAGGTCTTGTCCCAAGGATTACATATGTGAAGTATAAAAGCCTTAGCACCAACCGTTCAAAAGTTATGGCCAAGGTTAAAGTTTTTCAAAAGTAGGTCAAACTCCAAGGTCAAGGTCAAAGGGTCAAAGTTGTTGGTATCCAAAGGAAGGTCTTGTCACAAGAATTACCTATGCGAAGTATGAAATCCCTAGCACCAATTTATCAAAAGTTATGGCCAAAGTTAAAGTTGGGTAAATTTTGCAAAACTGAGTCAAACTCCAAGGTCAAGGTCAAAAGGTCAAATATGGTGGTACCCAAAGAAAGGTCTTGTCACAAGGAATACACACGTGAAATATGAAAGCCATAGCTCCAACCAATCAAAAGTTATGGGCAATGTTCATGTTTTTGCGGACAAACAGACAGACAGACGGACGGACAGGGCAAAAACTATATACCCCCGGATCTTCGATACGTGGGCATAAAAATATTCTTTATCAATCTTATGTGTTGAATTTTACATAAGTTAATAACGCAGAAAGATTTAAAGGTCGTTTATCTATTCCCATAAGTATTTGAGAATCTGGTGATGTTTTAAATTCTGATTTCAATAGATAAAATTGTCTACCCCTCTCCCTATGAAAGAACTGTAAATATGAACAATTGCCTTTTAGACACTGGTTTTAAACAGGCCCGGGGGGGGGGGGGGGCAGGGATCCCGCCCCCTTTTTTTCTGCATATAGTAATTTGCTATAGTAAATTTTACTTCAGATGATGGTCCCTCCCCCCCCCCCTACCCCCACTTTTTGATGTTATTAGGTCGAGCGCTGGCAAATTCCAGGATTTGGACAGTAAATTAGCTTTTTAGCCTTTCTCTATTTTTTTTTTTTCTTTTTTTTTCTTTTTTTTTTTTTTTTGCTTGTGGGTTAATTTTGGGAAGTTGCCCCCCCCCCCCACTTTTGACCAGTTTAGGGGATTTTTTTTGTTTTGGCTTCTCAGATTTTTTTTGGGGGGGGGGGGAATTTCCCCTCCCCCTTTTGAAACCGTTGCTATACGGGCCTGTTAAACTTATTAGTTAATTTTTAATGAACTCTTCTTTGCATTCAATCAAGTTTTAATGTTAAAATCTTCATTTAGATTGAGTTCAATGGATTAAAATGTACGCGGGAATTAAAGAATCTCGAGTTAGCGTGCGCAGTTCTTTGCAGAGCTGGATTTGAGATTTTCAAAGGGAAGGGGTTGGGAATTTATGCTAGGTTTAGCCAACAAAGATACAAACTAGTAAAATTCTTGACTTAAAGGAAAGGATCATTTAATACAAGTTATTCTAACTCTAAATATAACCCATGAAAATTCTTTGTCCCGTTAATCATGCAACGAGTTATAAATCCCCATCCAGAAAATAAAGGGAGGGGTTAGACCCACCTTCCTGATACAGGCACTGTTGAAAGATTAAAGAAATCAATTTTAAAACATCTAAGACTCGTATTTAACATCTTTAATCATCAACAGCAAATACAATAAATGTGTTTTGTTTCTGAGTGGATAATATAATACATTATAATAAAATTAACAAAAGATATGTATGTATGTATTAAAGCCCATCCAGAGCTAAACATTAACAAAAATATGCACTCGTCCATCGGATAAGTGTTTAATTATTGAAATTGTCTACGGATAATCAAATAAACGTTAAATTTGAGCCCTGTCTGTATCAAATGCACGATATCAGTGGTTGTCGAAAAAAAAGTGAATACAGTGTCACAAAGAAAACCCGCTTCCTTCCTTGAACGGATATGTTCAATATTTCGTAACGGCAAAACATATTCTGACGAGATCCGTAAACAACAGGATGCAGACAACTGAGTACAGGATGACTCCAATGACGCTGAAGGCCGCAGCCCAGGAGAGGCTAGCGAAAGCGTTCTCTGGTAACAGAGCCGTGGGCTGAGAGGAATCGTGTACTGCCTTAAGAAAAACACCACAAGCAATCTGCTGCAATAAAGCTGAAAAAATAAATACATTTTTCTGTCAGCACAATTATATCAAAATATCAATGAAACGAAAATTACAAAAAAGTACGAAAATAATAATGTGAATTAACCTTGGACGAATGAGAAGATGATGATGACGACGAGTGGCCATCTTCTTGTTTTGGGGAGAAACTGTGGTTTGAAGATGAAGAGAGAAAGACAGACGACACATGTTACTCCAAACAAGAGAGACAGAAGATCAAACACGGCTGCCACTGTCAACCAAGCTAAAAAATTAAAACATCATCTTTATATGAAATTACAGGCACCTAAATTTTTATCAGTAAGTAGCAATGAATTTAAAAAGGTGAAGAAAACGAACAGTGATCGATCTAAAAAAAACAAACAAACAAACTTACAAACAATACAAATTCGTGAACAGGGCATAAAAGAGGCACCTCTGGAAATCCCAGAGATGGGATCAGGTGCCTAGGAGGAGCAAGCATCCCCGACCGGTCACACCGCCATGGGCCATACGTACTTACCAGGTAGACGGAATAATCCGTAGTCAAATTCAGTACAAAAACAATGCTTTAACAATTGGTATAAAATATGACAGTCAAATACGATCCAATGATAGGATTATTTGCAAACAAGGTAATTATAACGACCACAGAATTTTCGAAATGTTGCGGACTTTAAACGAGGTTGTTGAAATTCCTGTAACACCAACTTGCTTTTTAGTAGCCCGCCCCGGTTTAAAAACTGGTCTAACCCAGAGTATCTTCTTGCGTATCGATCATTTGTGAGACATAAACACTATATGTAGGTGATGCTGGAGTACATGTATCACTACACAATTAAGGAAAGTTGACGATGAAAAAGTACTATCTTTTGTCATACAGTTTAGTTGTCATGCAGTTGGTCGTTACCGTATATAGTCAATAAAACATCCAAATATGAAACAGATGTGTAGACTCTGTGGTGTCTTTGAAAGCCCTAAAACGAACAATCATATCTCCTCTATATATAGTTTAATTAGGGAGCTCCACCGCCACCCACTTTTTTTGAGATTAATAGTCCTTTGCTGTAAAATTAGTAAAGAAATACACGCAAAGGCTGCTTCCCCCCCCCCCCCCCACAACGCTTTTTGTTGATGTAAAATCGAAGTATATCTCACAATTTTGCATTTAAAAAAATGGACCAAAAGTTCAAGATCCTACACCCCCTCCCCCCACGATTTTTGAGTCTGGGCAGTTTAGATTTGTTAATTATTTTCGTGATCCCCCCACTTTGAAAAAAACGTTTCTACGGGCACACATAGCACACATGTATTAGCATACTGCTATTATTGTCAATTTCTTTATCTTCCTTCAGTTTTCTCCCTACTCAATATTTTTGATCCAGTTTCAGACTATTGTGATTATGTTGCAAATCTTGCATTTTGATGTATCCTACTCGTGGTTTTGTGCATCTTTCATTTGTACCCTCATGATAGATATGATTTATATTCTTTCATATTACAATATACTTTAATATTATTTATATGTAATCATTCTGAAATAATTGTATATGCCCCCTGAGGGCCCTTGATTGGTGAATAAACATATATATATATATATATACATAGTTCAAAATCCTCTCCTTAATACTTTTTTTGTTCTGAGAAAAAAAAATGAGCATTTATATGTCTGAAATCTTGTCAACAATAGCTCTTTTCTAAATGCTATGGCATATGAAACTATAGAATGGTGTCTAACGTGTCGTGAATTTCAAAGAAATTTAATTCGTTTTCCATTGATAGTTTAGGTATCCCTGTTTGCGTAATTTTTTATGAAGGTTTTTAAATAGTTATATACAGTGAATACGCTACATTCAAAAAAGCAAACAAACACATTGCACCAAGAATTTTGTCTCTTTTGCAAGAATTTAAAACCGTTACACTTACCTGGGCGATTAATGATGCCAGTACAGTCTAGATTCACACATGTCAGCCACAGACCCACATTAATCGCGGTGCTGTTCTTATAAGTCTTAGAAACCCAGAATGGGGACACAAAGCTCAAGAATTCCACTGCCAGACCAAGTATGGAAAGAATGAATGCCACCCTCTTGTAGATGGAACTGTCCATAAAAAGAGACATATCGTCTGAAAATACTGTCTTTGGTTTTATCATGGGATTTTAATTAATCGGGGGAAGTTGCAGTTCATGCGTTCTCACTTTTCTGTCACATCTTGACATCCTCTGCAAGAAGTGACCCCTACCCTTATATCAACACTACAGCGGCAATAACTAGACACTATGTAAACCCTTTCTTTAAAAATCGTGCCAGGCTAAAATTTTATAAAGAAATACAATCAGAAAGGAGATAGAAATACAATCAGAAAGGAGATATACTTCAATAAAGCAGAGAATTTATCAGGCTGATAACTGAACGGAACCAAAAGAGAACAAGCTTATCTGTACTCTATGTTAATACCTACTCATTCAGTTCATTTACTGTTGTGTTTACATGAATATGTATGAAATTATCCAACTTAAATTAACAGACATCTAATATTTCCAATTTTAACGTCTTTGTGGAAAGGACCAGAATTACTGCATGCTTCGGTACTACTTGTATCTTGCGAACTTGAAAAGCAACACCGTGGTTTCTGCTGGATTTCAGTAATGACCCATTTTTAGTGGTCCGTGTGTCATGCAAGACACTTCAAAAACGGCATTATATACTGTATATACGTAGTAACAGAAGGGGGGCTTAAATTGGCCCCCACTTTTGCCGAAGCATAATCTCGTACGAAAATGTTATAATTACAAGCCTCCCCCTTTTTTTTTTGCATTATACTGTAGAAGCACAAATTTTCGTGGGAATAAAATTTCGTTGAATTGTCATCTAAAAGGGTTTAGTGGACATTATATACAAATTTCGTTGTTTCGAAAGTAACTCTATTCATATAATGCCACTCCCATGTAAATGTATTCAAAATTTTTCTTTACGAAAAACTTAGAACCTAAGCATACCCCTACCCCCCCCCCCCCCCGAAACAGAATATTAGATTTTATACAACCTTTGGATTTTTTTTCGCTTGACAACATTTGTTTAGGTAAGTTATAAATTATTTTTCTGCCTGCCATCCCCCTTTTATAAACGATGCTACGTGCCTGTGTTTTACCTAAATATTATTATAATCAGGCATTCTGCCTCTTTAAAAATTCTAATTCTGCGTTTATACATGTACTTCATTCACATGGTTAGAAAAATTCCGTATAAAAAATTACAACCAACATTTTATAAGCAACAAAATTACATCTTTCAATCATTTTTTTTAAAGATAAAGTTTAATCTAGAACTACTGTAATCTAAAATTGAGGCCGATAATGCATAACTGTCCTTTCTACGAAAGCCTATTAGGATCAAACTACGGTAAAAAAAATTTAAAAGGCGTTATAACGCCTTTTAAAAGGCGTTATAACGCGGAAAAAGGCGTAATAACGCAAATAAAGGCGTAATTACGCCTTTCCAAAAGGCGTTATAACGCGAAAAAAGGCGTTATTACGCCTTTCTAAAAGGCGTTATAACGCCTTTCCAAAAGGCGTTATAACGCGAAAAAAGGCGTTATTACGCCTTTCCAAAAGGCGTTATTACGCCTTTCTAAAAGGCGTTATTACGCCTTTCTAAAAGGCGTTATTACGCCTTTTTAAAAGGCATTAATACGCTTTTCAAAAAGGCGTTATTATGCCTTTTGAAGGGCCATTATTATGTCTTTGACAGGCCTGTGCTTTTAAAGTGGGGGGGGGGGGGTTCCCATAAAATTGACAAGCAATCAAAAAACAAGGAAACCAACCCCCCCCCCAACCCCCCCAACCCCCCCAAAAAATAAACTGCCTAAACTTGAGGGGAAACTTTTTCTAATTTTTCGGTAAAACTTTTTTTAAATGCAATGGCTTGCCCGAGTTTAACCATACTGCAACAAAATGTTAAGGGACAAAGCAATCAATTAATGATTTTTTATATTTAAACAATAGCAAGACTATTCTCCCAAAAAGTGGGGTGGGGACACCCCCCCCCCCCAACTCACATTCGTACTACCGGCCTGTTTGAAAAGGAGTTGTATCCAAAAATGGAAAGGCGTTATTTTAAAATAGTAAATATATGAAAGATTGAACCAAAGCCATCTTTATTTATGCAATATTTAGATTATAGTTTTAATATTATAAATTATATTATAAATTATAGTATTTTCTATATTCCTGCACATCTCGCAGACAGTTTTTTGCATTTTGCATGCATATTAGGAGAAGTCAACACTCTACTTTTGAAAATCCAGGATATAGGCAGAACCAGCTTTGGGCTTTGCTGGCCACGTATTAAAAATTCATGTCAAATTTGAAATATTTTTCTCTCCTCTTGGTAAAAAACATACAAAGTATTTGCATAGGTATAATGAGCAATTAGCCTTCAACAA